GTCGTCGTCGTCGTCGTCGTCGTGATAGCCTATCAGTTCGAAAATTTGGAGCCCTGAAGAGCGTGCTCTTCGCCAAGGCCACCGCCTCTCTTGGGTTGTTGGTGAATCTCTCTGAATCCTCCCCAAAGACTAAGAGATGCCACCGCCGGACCTCCGAGGCGGGCATTTCTGCAGCCAGTGTTCCAAATCTTATGGCTCTTCGCCGCACAATGGACAGATTGGGTCCAATGTTTTGTTTAGTCTATTTTTATAAGGCCCACAGCCCAGAGAAGTGACCGGTCCTGATTTTTTTCCAATAGTGACTATTGATAAATTGATGCAATTTCATAAAGAAGGCTTCCTTATATTTTTGGGGGGTTTAAAACTGCGACCATACCGGAATGTTAAATTAGCTCCCTCCCCCCCTTCCATTATTGTGCTGTTGTTGTTGTTGTTGTTGTTGTTGTTGTTGTTGTTGTTTTTAGTATCAGTATTATTATCACTACAGGTATTCTTGTTATTGTTATTATTTTTTATTATTATTATTATTATTATTATCATCAGTATTATTATCATTACAAATATCAGTATTATTATCACTATTATAATCCCTATCATTTCTATTATCATAATCAGTATTATTATTATTATTATTATAACAATCATCATTATTGTTATCATTATTATCATTATCTGTAATATCATCTTTTACGAGTTAGTCGTCTTCTGTTTCGTCCGACAGGGGAAGATAACTCTCAGCTGTTCCCACCAGCGCTTCCGGTAGGCTCGGTTGTGGGAGACGTAGAGGAGGGGCTTGATGCAGTAGCTGGACAGCCCGGTGAAGGAACCCACCCTAAGGACAGAAAATAGAGTATTTTGTAACACTCCCAAAGACGCAATTTCGATAGCTTATTATTACAGGAGAGGGGCTTATGGGCCTAAGGGTTTTAAAACATTTATAGATGCTATTGTGTGTGTATATTGCTGGGTTGTTTGGTTAGCCCAAAATGATTTTGACAATTTGTGGCAGGGGAAGGAGGGGAGGGGGGAGGGGGGGGATAAAAGATGTGTGATTTCTGTAGTATAATATCACTGAGCTGTTTGGACTTGCTGGGGTTTTTTTGTTTTGTTTTTTTATGTTGTTGTTGTTTTGTTGGGTTTGCTTGGTTTTTTGGGGGTTTTTTTTTGGGGGGGGGTAGTTTTGTGTTCCTTCTTTTCTGTCCCTGTCCCTTTTCTTGAGGTACCAAGTGTTGTCGTTAGGTTGTCTTTTAGGTGTGTGTTTTCATGTCCTTCATAATGTTAGTATTATCAAACATAACAGAAAGTTTTTGTCTATCTTATATAAGTCAGAGCTAAAGCCAAAACAATCTTTACTGTCATGAGTAAACGACGATGATATGTTTGATGATGGTAGCTAGCGATAATGGTACTACTTCTGCTGTTGCTTCTACTGCTGCAGCTGCTGTAGCTCAGGGGTTTATTCCGCTGTGGCTTTGGTCTTATCGGAGACGCCGTTAAATTCGGAGGTGCCGCTTCTTAGATTATATTTAACCTTCCCGTGTTGCTTGGGGTTAAACCTATGCTTGTGATTGTTTGGCGGGTACTCTGGTGTGGTGTACTCCTTCTTTCCCATCAAACAGCTATCGTCCTCATCTCTCCTCCATTTCTTTATATATATTACTCTTAGTCTTTAGTATCACCTCTAATCTACGGCACTTATATTACGACCAGTTTTGTTGAAAGAGCTGTAAAACATTTACTAACACTAAACCGGTTCAATTTCGCACAGCGGATATCGTACAGGTGCAAAACGTGTCAGTACCTGTAACATTCCGCACACCTGGCCCCATACATGTCCAGGTAGCTGGCTATGACGTAGATGAACCAGCATGACGTCACCACCGCCCACGTGATCAGGTACGTCATACTCTGGTGGTGCTCGGGGTCGTCAGGTTTGTCCCGGAAGATGCGAACCAGAGCGCTTTGTTTGTTCACCCTCTTGATGCTGGTCTTCCACGTCGATACAGCGTCAAACCTCCCAGAGGGCCGGTTCTCTGAGACAGATACATTAGGACCAGGTCACTCCTCCATTGCTGGGATGTCTCCATCTACGTGTGCTCAGACAAGACAGGATTTTCATTCCATAGAGGTTTAAACAAAGCCATGAAATACTTCCCCTGATTTAAGGACAAATGACTGCATGGGCTGTGGTTATGATATGTCCTAAAACGTCCCCTTTACAGCAGTAGGGAAATAGCAGAGATAGGATTTGTAGAAGACAAACTAGTGTAAACGCCCAGGCAGAACTGAACAGTCAACAGTGAGCTCAACTTGGTTACTTTTTATGGTTACCTTTAACTCCCTCCTAGGAGAGATTCCAGAATTCTTCACGAGAAGGGTAGGTTCAGGCGAGGTTATCTCGACGGCAGTGAGAACATCACAGATATCTCAGAGAAGTCAAAGCATTATCAGCAATGACGATAACGTAAACAGTTGCGTGCGTGATACAAGATTTTGGGAAATCCTACCTAGTCTCAACCTTGTTTATTCTGATGATGATGATGATGATGACGATGATGATGATGATGATGATGATGATGATGATGATGATGATGATGATGATGA